TAAACCGAATATAGATACATATGAACTTTTTGATATCTAGAATCCATCTTTCAAAGATGTCTCATATTTTTATGAACATTGTGCAGTTGTATTCTTTCTTATTTTATTATTACATTAATCAACTTTTATTATCGTACTTATACTTCGCTAATTGTTGATATAACTGAATAATTCTATATCAAAAAATAAATCGAAATTACAGAATAAAATTTTTCGCTTTGTTTTCTAAAAAATCAATTTTAAATATTCAAGACATAGTCAAGTGACATGTATTCGGCGGATATTTAAAATTATTTTATTCTATAATAAAAAACAAATTCTGATATAAAAATATTTCATTCTCTATTTTCGATTTATTTTTTTTATATAGAATCATAAAAAATCTTTTTAATTACATCACTAGTTATTCAGAACTATATATATGTTGATTCAGTCTGATATAGGTAGGGATGTATTTAGATCTTAGATTTTAGATCTTATGCCCGTCCGTTTCATATAATGGTCGAGATTTTGCCCGAGAATATCTATTTACATCCTATAAATCTGTATATTTGCACTTGTATTTTTTATATAAGTATATGTTGAAATCGAGCGAAAGATTTGCTCATATATTAAGAAACCACAGGTATTAATTTCTATTTAAAGATAAAAACAACGATACCTCGATCGTTTTTTGTGAAACCGAGATTTAAGATTTAAAACATATAGTAGTATATTGTCAACTGATAAGATATTATGCACCTGCTTTTTTGTAAATATAAGTAGGGTATAATGAAATAAGACCATGTTCGATTCATCACGAACAAAATTAATGTAGTACTATCATTGCTAATTTCATTAATTTAATGCATTAATAATTACAATAAGAAAGAAAATACTTTTACGTCTTAACCATTTTGTATATAATAATTTAAACATTGTATAAAAACTTTTAAAAAGGGTATAGATTTTACCACTTACATAGTCATTTATTATAGTTAAATATCGAGTGTTATTTTAAAAAGGATTTTTTATCGTATTCATTTATTGTGAAAAATTGATGAATCGGAAAGAATGATAATGGAAAAATAACATTCGATTAATGCGTTTCGAAATATGCAAAATAATGCATATGATCTAATGCGATTAAAATTCGTTAAAATATAATTAAAATATAAACTGGAATTAAATCGGCGATCTATGATGCTCTTGTTTTCTTTTATATATTGATCGTGTACGTATTGTGCCTAATCAAAATATCATTTTTCTTCAATTAATGACAGATTTTCTTACAATGAGATTATAGTATTTATTAATCTCATTGTATTTTCAACTATTTGTTATTATTCATAAATGAAAATAGAGTAATTATGCTGAATTTAAGAATAAATGCGTGTAAGCAATATATATATATATATNTCACATATACTTTCAAATACATATACACGTGTACACAACATTCATATAATATATTATTATATAATATATATTATATTATATTATATAATAATATATACTAATTATATTTATAATATATCATATTATATTATAAACAATTAAGACTGTTCTGAAATTCGTATAATATTCAAGTACGATAATGTGCTGGTTCTAATCCGTAAGATAGACAAATTTTTAAGATAAATTCTTATTTTTATACGCATAAAACTATCGTTCCAAACTCGATCCTTATTCTTTATCATATATTTATATTTATTGTTTTATTTGATTTATTTTACCTTATTTATTTACTTCTGATGAATTCAAAATTTATTTGTACTTCACTAAGTTCCTAATATGTCATCTATTATTTTGATAGAAATTAAGCACTTTATCGTGCGTCTTATTAAACTTGATTTGATGATCTATTTTATAAACACAATTTAACATATTCTGATAATTATTAACGATCATATCCTTTTTTATATATACATGAATAAAATAAATGAAAGAAAATTATTGTTGTTGTTGTGAGGTGAGTATTGATAAATCACGTAAAAATTAGCAAAATTAATATTAATCAAGTTAGAATTTAAATATTATAAATTTAATGTATATTGAAATTTTTATACTTTTTATGTAAATAAAATTCAACATAAATATAGAGAAAAATACTCATGATTTAAATGATAATTTTTTAGAAAAAATTATTAATATTTATTATATTTACGTATGCAATTTTGTTACATTTTTTATATTGATTGTATGTATCTATTAATTTGAATGTAAAATTTATATGTATGCTTAAAAATAAGTAATATGTATACTTAAGAACCATGATTTTTTTATTAAAATATTTTATTAAAATAATATCACCGCAACAACGACGATGGTGATGATAATAAAAATAATGAAAATAAAATTAAAGATAAAAGCAAGAAGCATACAAAATTTTAACTTTTAAAAACTTACGTATTATTTATGTTACAAATATTAAAGTAAACGAATGTATTCTATTGAAAATGGATCGATTATATAATAAGTATTATAATAAAAGATAAATACAATTGTGACAGTATATTAGACAATATATTGTTTAATATGTATATACAATTATTATTTTTTTTTTTAATAA